TCTCCCCCTCTCCCTCTCTCTCTCTCTCTCTCTCTCTCTCTCTCTCTCTCTCTCTCTCTCTCTCTCTCTCACTCTTTAGTACAGTTCCCACCAATTGGCAACATGGAGAGGGTGACCTGGCTGCTGCTTTACCACTGTACGAACATCTCTGGAGCATTTTAGTCTCAGGACCATAACTCTTATTGAAGATCCCCAAAGAGCTTTTGTTGATGTAGTTATCTCTCTCAGAATTTATTGTATTGAATTTAATACTGAGATATTTTTTAAACATGTTTATTTAAATATAACAATAATAAACTACTTGCTGGCATAAATAACATTTTTGATAAAAATAACTTTTCCAAAGCAAAAACTAATGAGAACAGGAACATGTTTTACATTTTATGCATTAAAAAAAAAAACTGGCTTAATAAAAGCAGTGAGAGCATTCCAACTTAAAAAAAAAAATTACACCGCATACACACTGGAAAACTCCACTATGCACTTGTGAAATCATGAGAATGAAAAAGATATATAATGTCTTAGTAGGACAATGAAAATAGTTTGACCTTTCACAGCCCTTCAAAGAAAGGGTTGTAGACCTTAAGGGTCTCCAGACCCTTTGAGAACCACTATACTTTAAATTTGTTAGAACAGTATTCACTTGTTCTAACATACTACCCCCTGAGGTTTTTTTGTGTTTGCTAGTAAGAAAAACTGAAATTGCAGATGTTTTAACACTAACTACTTCAAGGTAATAATAGCAGTGGTATGACGTATGGGGTGTATATCAGACAGTCACTTGCCAAATGATTTTCATATTTCATCTCTTACAGTCCCTGCAGTGGACCCATACTTTTAGGATGAAAGAAGCAAAGCATAGAGAGGTGAAGCTAGTGGTAGCTTTTGCTCTGGGGAACAGATTTGGATTAAAATGCTATCACATTTCTTTACGAGTACATACTTTCTTAATATTTGGAAATTCTAAGCAAGTTACGTTCTATATCTTGTGTACCTAAAAAAAACTTTAATCACTTGAATTTTTTTCATAATTTGATGAAGTCAGTACAGTTTATTCTTGGGTTTTTTTTTTTAACTTTAGAAGTAATGGTAACTAGTGGAGCGTGTTTTAAATTGAAGACTCATCTGAAGTATCACAGACTCCTGTTTTGTAAAGCATTCCACTTTTATTGTTACAGTTTGTGCCCTATACAGTTTTAAAATTTACTTTTTAAAACGTAGTATGATTAAAATTTGTATTAAATTAACCTATTGTATTGAATTCATTTTCATTAGTTAAAATTTTGTTTTTATATTTTAAAATTTAGTGACATTAAACTTTTCATGTGGTTGTTTGTGAACAAACAAATATATAACCACGATGTCATCTAGTGTGCTGCTGAATGTTTAACAACCATCATTCACGAAAGAAAAAAGGCCCTGTTTTGTAGTGTTTACTAATATTTGTGGTATAAATACTATCTCCATGGTGATTTTACCTGCCAATCTGATGTCGTTAAATGCAGTTTAAAGAGATAGCAGACTAGTGGTGCTCCCAAGCCTTTACAAACCAGCTCCAGCACAGTAAGGACATATAATTCCACAACTCATTAATCACATTTATTGTTCATTTGATGATTATATCCAGTATTTGAAGAGCTTTTATGTTGTTAATTCATTCAGCAAGTATTTGGACACTTGTTCATTTTTAGAGATATACTGGGCACTGAGGTATTTAATCTGCAAAGAGCCAAGTGTTGGTGAACCATGGTTTTAAAAAGTCCAATTGTTGTGCTCTTATAGGGATTGTACATTCAAGGCTTACACTCTGAATTCTGTGTACAGTTCGGTTTTGTTTGACCAGTACAGTGTTTTAAAATGTTGCATTCTGATTTCAACTTTTTAAAATAGGGCATGTACTCTTAAGGTGGCCACTAGCTTACCACTCTCAGTTTTCCTTAGTCTCAAACATTCACATGCTTTTCAAAGCCTTTGAGTTGGCAAATCCTGAATAGATAGTGAAGGTAGGAAATGGCTCTTGTTATGCCACATCTTAGTCTGATTTTGAAGTCAGTTGTGTAAGTTTGGGCTGACAGTGGTATTTCCCAGTGAAGACTGTTGCCAAGAATCCATACCACTCTGATTATTTTATTCTAGTGGATAAAAATTCAACATATATTTCAGTGTATTTTTGAAATCTGTGCTTGTCCAACATAGGGCTTAGGGGCTGATAAAAGGAGAATGTTGTGATTTGAGCTTTTATAAAAAGATACAGTGATGCTGGATAAAATATTTTAAATGGTTATTAAAATGCACATAGTTTAATTATTTTAATCAGTTCTCTGAAATCTTGATATGTTATGCATGTTACAATTTAAGCAATGAGAGTGAAATTTGAAGTCTAAATTCTCAGCATCTCCCTCAATCTTGAGTGGAGAGACAGAGGAAGCAAACGCCAAGGAGCCTTCTAATTTTGACTATATGATCATTAACTAAAGGCAGCAAGGGATTGTAAACTAATCTTATATAGTCAGTATTTCATAGAATGCTTTGGTTGCAATCAGGTTTTTTAAAGACTTTAAAGGTTTTTTTGTATGTTATAATATATGCTTATGTTTTCTAAAAATTATGCAGTATGCACAAAGGACATAAAGTCTAAAAGTATGTCTCCCTCTGTGACTTTATTCTCACACCCAAGAGGTATATAATTTCTTGTATTCTTGTATAGTCTTTCAGAAATGTTATCATTTATTTTATATATGCCTCTCTATATATGCCTCTTCCTGTTCTTCCTTATTTTAAATGTTCAGTTTTGTGACTTTGTTCTTGTTTAACTTGGTTGTCTTTCCATATTACCACATCCAGCTCTAACTCATTATTTTAATGCCTCCAGGATTCCATTATATGGATGTCCCTTGGGAGAACAGTTGTTTATAGACTTTTCTACTAAAAATATTGTTACAATGATAATATCCTTATGCATATATGAAGATTACTCTTGATTCTGCCTGACTGGAAACTTTTAATAAAATAGACACATTCTATTTTGCGACTCACCAGATGTGTAGGAATGATCTTGTGCTTCCCTATTTAAGAAATTATTCAATTTAAAGAAGGAACAAAAAATCTATAATTGACTGAAGATACATGAAAAATCCTATGCTTTTAAATTAAAACTATTAAGGCAGTCAGTTCATTGAAAGATTGTGCAAGCTCACATCTATTTTGCACCTTAATTTTTTCATTGTCCCTACTCATGACTATAAAAGTGCATGGCTTGGGGCTCTATTTTGTTTTACAATTTGTTGGTATCGTGCCTTTTCTTATCTACATTAGCTTAGACTATACCTTATTTTTAAGAAGAGAAAATAGCAATTAACTATGGCAAACTCTATTTTGGCACAACCACATGTTTGTTCATTATTTCTTCAAAATTAGCTTCCTATGCTTTAGAAAAAAATGTGAGTTATTACTCCGAAAGTTCTGATTCTGATTCCTCATGGTTTAGAGCTCAGAAATTTCTTAGCTTGTATTTGCTGTTAGTCAAGCACAGGATTTGTTTCCTGCAAAAGTTTATTTTCCATAAGGAATACTTGTCCTAATAGCTGATAGAAAGTACCTTTGCACTTTAAATCCTAGAAATAGGGAGCAAGGAAACTTACTGAGAAGTTCAAAAGAAAGAATAACAGGACTTTCTAGTCAGCAGGGCATGTTTGGAAAATGTTAATACACCATGAATTTTGAAGACCAATTTTAGTTCAGGAGGTGGTTTTAAATATTGGATGAAAACTTACAGGCTGACTTTAGTATTCATTTCTGAAATGCTTTAGTATGATAGATAAATTTGGTTAAGTTCTTGTTCATTGTGAAATACTGTTGGAAGAATTTTTTTCAAAATAAAGACTTATGAATTTGTGTACCATTTGGGAATAGCCTCTTTCATTTAAATGGGTGTCAAATAATCTGGAAAATTGGAAGAATATTTGTTTCTTTCATCACTCACATTATGCATTCCTGTAAAACAGCTCATGCATTTACTTCCAGCTTAACCTGTTTTATTCCATTAATTAAACTTTTGCCATTTTTGGGGTTTTTTTAATTAAAAAGTCTTATTTAAAAAAAATAGTACTTGTTACTTAATTTGCAATA